CTTGTGCACGGCCAAGGGCAAATGCTGGGATTAGGACACGACCTCCTTGTGAAAGGGTAGAGTGAATGACATCCGTGAAGCGCTTCTCTCGAATATGGCGCGGCTGATGAAGTTGAACACCGTAAGTGGATTCAATAATGCAAATGTCAGGGGAGAACTGTGGGAGCTCAGCAGCTCGGAGATGCCGGTCTTCTTCACGTGAATAGTCTCCAGTGTACAGGACTCGAACACCAGCAATGTCAACCATGAACATGGCAGCACCAAGGACGTGGCCAGCGGTGTAACACCAGAACCGGATACCATTTACTTCTAAAGTCTGATGGAAATCGATAACCTGCAGAAAGGGGGTTTGATGTGTTGCGTGAGACGAAGTTTACGATAAGTAAGTTGTGATTTTATTTACATGAGTTTACTATGTAGATATCCAAAAACTGCATGCAGAAGTGCTCCTGTAATGGTTGCATAAATAATTGGCTACATAACAGTTTCAGTCAATTTATGGATGCTCCTCTTTCTTCATTAGTTATAACTGACTGCATATCTGCTTGGATTGAATCATCTTTCATCTTAGCTGCTATAAAGTAGCTCCAATCTGGTAGAAGAAAGAAAAAAAAGGTCACGCCCCACCAACACTTATAGAGGATAGATCGACGACCAGAGACCACTTTCTTTGATTCTCCATTCTCTCAAAGCTTGTATCTCTATTCTCCAAACCTCTGAATTAATAAAATACCCGGCAACTGAAGCCATTGAAGAGTGGACGTATGTCGAATTGACCGAACCACTATAAATTGTGTCTTCTTTAATTCTTTCATCGATTTCACTGCATTTATTATCTACACTAGACAGGTGGTGTGCAAAACCATTTTTGTGCATCATCAATAGCGATTAAATAAATTTTTTTGCGATTGTCGGATAAATTTATTCAAGTTTGCTCTATTTTATATTATAGATCAGTCACTTCCATGGACATCTATATAATAAAATACATAGCAATTTGAATTTTTATCTTCTACATATTTTCTCCTTAAAAATATTATTTCACTTATTTCTATCACATGTTTAATCATTTACATATTTTACTCCTAAAAATATCACATCACTTATTTTTATCATATCTTTAATTATTTAATATTTGATTAATTTGTAGTTAATATAATTTTTACTTCAAACATTATCCATATACGATAGTATACATATGTTGAAAAAATTCAATATAGTAGAATCGATTTTTTAGACACTTGAATTGATATCTTATTATGTCTTTAAACACGAATTATGACTAGTATACATATAATGAAAAATAATTTTGTTGGAGTTGAATAAGTTGAGAATTTGAAGCATGTCCAGCCAGTAAAAATTTTTCCTTCCCAAGACTTTGATGCAAATTGATGTGTAGTGGAAGACTGTCCAAGGAAGAGTAAGTCAAGAGAGGATCTGTTAGGCACCCCCCCCCCCCCCCCCCCAAAAGAATCAGCTACAGCATTACCTTCCCTATAGGTCGGTATGAAAGATTTGAAAATCAAATCCACCAAAGGATGAGAAAAATTTGATTTAAAAGAGATTTGATTTGAATTTCCATGGTGACTGTGTAGTCTGTTTGATCAAATCCACTAGTATTTGAGCATCAGTTTGGATGACAATAGGATAAGGGATTTGAATATGGTATCGAAATTTATTATTGATGATGTTTATAACGCGACAGAGCAAAATGATGGATTCAATGTGCACCGAATGGTTCAATCTGACGCTCTTCTAACCCGTTTTCTATGTGCCAAGAGCCACCCATGACTCGCTGGAATCGATTGAATAGCCCCTGAAGTAATTTATCACCGATCCTTAGGCTCCTTTGGCCATTTTGATTCTTCCTTTATCACAGGATCGTCAACTACTGAGACATACGAGTTCACCACGGTAGAAATCTATATTTTCATCTATTGTGCGAAAATCATCGCGCACATTTTTGTTTTGATATCATATGTACTGAAGTTTCATGATTTACAATAATTAGCTGCTTCATATGTTTTTGGAGTCTATCTTCTAAAGTTTTGGGTTTTCTGTGATCATCTTTTAACAGCACATGTTAAACACCTGCAACTGATCATCGACTACCATCACAGTTTAGGAACAAATGACATCGACATCTAGCATTACACCACTGGTCATGTTGTTGGTACTTTGAAATTGATTGCAGATGTTGCTGGTGCCCAGACATTCCCATGGAGATGGTCCTGTCCTGCATTCATGCTGGTGAGATCCCTAAATATCTATGGACATTTGTGAAACCAACTCCTTTCATGGTTACAGATCTCGTCAGCCTCTTCCCTAATGTCATCCTTTTGACCTTTTCTAGAACCAGGTTTTTTCGTTTGGAGGTGTTCAGCCACTCATTTTTCTTAAAAAGAGTGTTAGGTAATTTGTAATGGCCAATTAGTCTTGATGAGGTCTCCAGTCTGTCTCTTTGTCCCCCATGTACCATGGTTTCTACTGTCTTGTGTATGAGACGATTTTGCAAGCTGATTTTACTTCAAGTGCATATAGCCTTCACAAAGTAAAAGGAATATGATATAGACTGGTTGGGGGTGATGCCAACCTGAATGGGCTTCCAATGGAATATAATATAGACTTGAAGAAAGCTATGTGCGGAGTTATGATTTTAATGGAACTGATAGAATTCACTGATGACTCCGAGGATGTAATTCCAACTCATGGTATCTCTGTTTCTCCAACTTCACTCATCGGTACCATATAAAGGAGAAGGACCTCACGCAATTTCGGAAGAGCTCATGCTTTCAGGCATAACTTTTGCTCAATTTTACTGACATGTGGAGGCTCAAACAGGAGCATATCATGGTCTGTTGGCTGAAACTTGGGAAAATTTTCTCTCTATTAACACTACCAGTTTGTTGAAATTTATTATAATGTTTGGGGTCTGGAAGATCATTGAAGGGGAACACAGAGTCCACCTGCATATCACACGAAATGATGGAGGTTCCATCACTACAAGTGCATGAGAAGGTGCATGACAAGGCGACACAAGAGCAACAGTGGCGTGTCTTAAAACTTACTATCTCTCTACACTACATCTGCTGGAAAAATTCATGGTAATCAGAGGCCATAAAAATCGGATGTGGAAGAATAAAAGAGGGCTGAAAGAAGGTTACATATTTATTCGTATCTTTTGCCTTGGTTGTGTGATTTTGGAATAGAGTCAGAATCTGGTGAATGAGAGACCAAGAGTTCAGCGGTATGCGGCACATCTTGATGAAGTGAGTGGAGGTATCATGGATCAAGGGAGTGAAAGCTTTTGGGCTGAATTAATGGTCTTACTGCAAGAATAATGACACCATGCTAACAGATCGATGTTGCTGCAGACCTGATCTCTCTTGTTGTGGTCTCAAACATGAATGCCTTGTGTGCGCTTTAGGCAAAAACCTGACTACCCAATATTCGCAAGCTAGGGAATGTGGATTGCAGTAACTGCAATGCAGGGGCAACATTTCTTTTTCTTTTTTCTAACTAATTGTATTTTTTTTCTTAGTTCAACGGTCAAGGGTGTCCAGGACAGTTTATGTGCACTTCAACTAATCTTGTTTTTAGTTCGGTTAAAGGAAGATCATCCACACCAAGATTAGAGTATTCATGAAAGATAAATCTTTCATATAATCGTCAAGATTCAAATTCAAGAAGTCTGAGTTTATAACTTTTCTATACAAAATGTGCAATAAGGTGAGCTCGCTTCAGTGTGATGTGCGAGTGTAGTCTATTGTGCCTAATTTATTTCGTTATGTTTTGTTGTTTTAGCTCTCGTTATTGTATATTCTTTTGCCAATTGTCAGGTAAAAAATAATCACGTTTTTTGTCTCCCTAGTGATCCATAGTTCCTAACATCCCATTAAAAGTTCTCAATATAGCTGAGCAACGATTGGTATTATTTCCATCTTGGCGAGTTACATACTCCCAACATGAATCACTAGCTGGTACAGAGATAGGTTTTTCTTTTCTTTGTCAAAGAACTAAAACAATGTAAATTTGATCCAACTTTTCTTCTATTGCTTAGACATTGTCTTGCAAATAACTTGGCGCAAATTGTGCTTCTTGGAACTTATTTAGTTCTTCAACCACAAGAAGGTGAGGTCGACAATTTATTTGACAAATATAGAATCAGAACAAATGGTTTTGTGTTTATTACAAACCCTTCCTCCCAAGTTGAGACCAATTATTCATATAAATGAGAGTAAACTAATGATTTCAGATATTAATGAACTCTATAAAAAAGTTATTTATCGAAACAATACTCTTGCCGATCGATTGACAAGTAGATCTACACGGGGAGAATTAGAACAATTGGTACAATAAACCATAGATACACTCGATAATGAAATCTTGACAACCAATGAGAGACAATTCATTTTCAAATGTAATTGAAGGCAAAGAGAAAAAATTTAGCATGACTCTATTTGGAAAATGGATCAATTATTCATAGCGTTCTATTCTATCATTGTCATGGGCCCTTCGCTTTTATTCCATCGACGTTAATTACCACAAAAAATAGCAATATAACTTCCCTAGACATTTGTCATTTGTCATCTAATTAGACAACATCTTGCTTTAAATATAGGAGTTGTTGACTAAAACCAACCCCCATAGTAAATTTCAAATTATGGATTCCCGAGTGTTTTTTTTTTCAATGCCAATTAGGATGATTGCATCCACATTTTTCTTGCAACCATTTAATGGCAAGAATTCAAATAGATGAGAAGAAAAAACATATTAATCAAATACAAATTCTCATTTGTAACAGATAGAATTGCTTTAAATACCAAAGTCAAAACTCTCTAAAACTAAACATTGTTGAAAAGCACCATTCACTGTCGCAAAATTATAGAAATCCAACCATCCATGATCCTTCCAAGCTCAGGAAATCGAAAAGAATGGAGATGGGCTGGGTTTAAGACAAGTGAAATACATCCAACTTTTCCCGTAGAAGGGCCCTTTTTCTACTCCCCCCAACCTGTTGCAGCAGGAGGAGGAATAACAGGAATCTCGGGCCCAGGAATAGGAGCTGCAACGGTATCCCATCCATCAGCAGAACCTCCCACCGCTGTTCATAAGATAGATGGTCAAAATACAAAATAAATCTGGTCAGAAACACTATCAATGTATACAAAAAAGCAAACAAAAAAAATCAAAAGCATTTGCAAGAAACTGCAGACAAAACCACTGGGTCTCAATCCAGTGGTTTGTGGAAAGAAGAAAAAGAAAGGAAAAGGAGAGAAGCGAGTAAATAAGCAGAAGACCAAAAGTGTAGGCAAAACCTAAAGGGATCAACCAAAATCAAAGTGATGAACCTATTCTTATAGGCATCTGACAAATATTACCAAACTAACATGTTATAAGAAAGCTCAACATGAGCATTATTACAAAGCAAAAAAGACCAAAGACTAGAATTGCAAGACGACCCACCCACACCGATGCTTTCATGTTTATATTCATTACTTAACCTACAAACAACACCGAGAGATAAGGAGATTGAGCATTTCATCATTTTCATCAAATTAGAATGGATGACAATAATACTCACCAGCATCCTGGGTCCAACCAGCATCAGCAACAACAGCTGGAATGGAAGGTGGAGCTATGTCAGGGTTCCATTGTGCATCAGGGATTTGACTAACCCACTGATCGGCAATACCAGTAATAGCTGAAGCAGAATACTCATATTCTTGGGCCACTGGTGCTTCCTCCTCTTGTTCTTCTTTAGCCTCCTCAGGCTCCCTGTAGAAAAATAAATCCACCTGCACATAGGAAAGATCAACATGAAATGAATAGAACCTCAAGGATACTGAATCTATAGTTGGTCCATGTAATATTTATTTATTTTTTCATGTTTCACTAGGTGAAAATCAAATCCACTAAACTAAACATGGCAATCAACCATAGAAATTTCGTCAAACTTTAACTAAGCATGTAATCTATCATGATAGAATGCATCAGGTGTATCCCTCCAGAATTTGAAGATCTAGAACACAAAATATGAATATTTACCATCACATCCCACTTATGCCCTTGGGCAATGACACCACGCATCTGCAAGACCATCCTTGCTAACAGCCAGAACAGACAACCAATGCTGTGCTTCCCCTTGTTATTGGCAGGAATACCAATGTCGACATATCGCATTGGGGAGTCTGTGTCACAGAAAGCAATAGTTGGAATATTCCCAAGTGCACCTTCCTTAATAGGCTGCATAAATTTTGTGACCAAGTCAAATCTGGATCACACGATCCATAAATCAACCAAGCAGATAAAATAAACAATTGCCATCAAAGGAAATCAACTTAAGGAAACTTTTAGCATTGATGGAAATAAAGTTAAAATACAATATTCATGGCTCACCCAACAGGTACCTACAAGCTTTGTGCCAGAAGCATCTCTTAACATAAAGACCAACAATTAAACAATCAATGGTATGATACAAAAACAGACAATTCACGAAGAGGCCCTAACCTGGTGGTCAGTTCTTGGATCAGTGAGGATGAGAAGACGAGGCTCACTGAATGAAGTCTGAAGCTGATTAGTGAAAGTACCTGGGGTGTGGCGTCCAGCAATCGCATGAGCTCCAGTGTATTGGGCAAACTTTAAGACGGCTCTCTGACCATAGGGTCTTGCCGACTGAACAATAATGTCATGTGGGTTCTCAATTGCCACAATAACCCTAGCAGCCATCTGAAGTTTCTCCCATGTTTTTCCAAGGTTGATAATATAAATTCCTGCACATTAAGACAGTGGGGGAGAGAGACACTATTAAACAACATGGGTATAAAATTAAGAATTGGTTTTATTATTATCCAATTGGGTACAGTGACAGTGTTGTTATGCCAATAGCAAACAAGACATGAAACATAATTTTGACAACAGGATTCTCCATCAAATATGACATTCAGTGATGCCATCCATGTAAGATGTTGAAAGCTCAACACAAGCCTGACTAGAATTAATTGGCAGTTTCTGTATAAAAGCGAACATTAATGCCAGTTAAGTATAATCACGATTATGTTTGTCTCCACAATCCATTTACTTTACTAGATTTTATGGGGTGAAAACATAAAGATCAAGCAAAATTTGTTGCAAGGCCATTGAAACAGTGCACTTCATTTTTCCTTTCTGTTCTTTACAGTATGTAATAACCTGATGCACTTGATTTTGATCTGTAGCCTTCAAATCCACTACACTAGAGCATTGAAAATGGTATCAACTATCAACACATGCAAAATTACCTCTACAGAGTAGTGCATTAACAACCCAATCACACTTTATCTCCACGTAGGAGTAAAAAGAGAAATTGTACAAACATAAAATACAAAGCACCTATCCCACAAAAACAAGTACGCCTATAATTTTATATATATGACACATCCTGCTTACACACACTATAACAACGGCCCAGATCCTTTAAATCCGACGATTTATATTACAACTTACATTTTAAACTTTTAACCACAATAATGCAATCAATTTAAAATTTTTAACCACAGTAACTCAACCAATATATTAAAAAAACGTGCAAAGCACGGGAATACTCCAGTGCTTACATAAAGCACAACAACAATCTAGATCGTTTAGATCCAGTTATAATTTATATTTTATATTTTAATCTTCAAACCACAATAACTCATTTAAATTTTAACTTCTTTAATCATATTAACATTTAAAATTTAACTTTTTATCCAATAATAACTCAACCCAATAATAATTCAACCCATGTATTAAAAAATGATAAAAAAAGACGTTCTTTGCACGGGAGACACCCTTGTATTTTCTCATCAAGTTTCTTACCAAATTTTTCATCCCAAGTGATGCGACACAATCTCCAACAATGAATATTAATGAGACTCACTTATTTGAGGGTGAAAATTATACAAAATTACTTGGGATGAAAAACAAACTTGGTCAGTATAACACAGTTGTTTTCATATATTAGATGTCCTATATTCGGCCAATACACAAACAGATACACGCTACAAGCATATTAAATTACACTTAATAAAGAACTAATTCAAAAATGTAACTTGAACCAAACCAATATTACCCAAATCGTAATTCGTCAAGTCAATTATCCACGCATGAAATAACACAGATCTACCATAATGAGATCTATTAACCTACTGAACTAAATTAAACACCAAATATAGACGAAACATATGTAGAGTAGATTACTAGATGAAGCCCAATCGATTATCATAAGCATGCCATCACTACATCAAGCTAGTCTCTCCGCAACAGATCAAATTCTAATAACAAAATCAAACGACAAACACGCGTTGTTTGCTTTAACGATTGTACACTTACAAATCAACAAATAAGCAGAAAATTCTATATTCATACCGTCATTGCGGCGCTTGAAGGCGTAGCGCTCCATCTGGAAGTCGCAGTTCTTGGTGCCGAGGTGGACTTCGGCAGCCAACATCATCTGTATGTCGGCCTCCTTCGTCGACAGTGCCCTCTGTTGAGTAGTCGCCATTGTTGCTACCTTGATTCTCTGTCGTTCGTTTGGGGTTTTTTTTTTTTTCCTGAAGAAGAAGCCCTATAACAGGATTGGAGCTGCTCAATCAAAGAAATGAGGGTTTTTTCTAGGCGAAGTGGCTTCGGAGTGAAATGTAAAGCCGTTTTGCATTGAAACCCTAGAGACTTTTTCTGACGAAATTAACCCTAGTTTCGTTTGATAATTACGTGGATCGGTCCTGTTGAAGCTAAACCGGTGAACCATTTTTGTTGTACATTAGGTTGGGCTGAACCGGTGAACCGTATATATATTGGATTGGGCCTTTTCGTCTCCAGTCCATTTGTTGGGCCGATTGTAAGACTTGGCAAACTGTATGGACATGCCCATAAATTATGGTGGGCCTAAAGCCCTATTGGCCCATCATAAGAGTGGGCAGCTCGTTAGTATACTGGGTTGGATTGTTTGCTAAATTTTGACCCACATAAGTTTGTTGGATAGGCATAAATGAATTAAATCAACAAATTAGGTCAATAAATAGATATCAATTTTATTTTTTTTATTTTTTATTTTTTTGGGAGAGGGGGAGGGGGATTTGAACTTTTAACCTCAAGAAGACAAAGCTTTCATAAGGTAAGGAGTATCATTAGACCAAAGACCCGTCGGTAATAAATTAGATATCAATAACATAGCTCATTGATCAATAGTTTCCGTTGCTGCCACAAGTGCTTGTTGGCGTAGGGGTGGAGCGAGACTGGAGGCAAAAATATAAATGAAAAAATTAATCAACTTTTATTATTCCATCAACAAGGATTAAAATGAGTGTTATATCCATAAGTCCAGGTATAAGAAATACAGAATCAAAGAACAGTACGAGGAATGGGGAGAATTACACTTTGTACTCTGAAAGATTTTAAAATTTTTATTTTATTCTCTCAAAAATTAAATATTACATATTATATCCCTTAATGTATGAAAAGTGTTGTAATATAACACTTAAATGTTAGCTTTTCCGTAAGTTTTTTCGTCAGTGTTAATGAGTTGGTTTTTGATGAAAAAAATAATGAAAACTAACAAAATGATCGTATTGCAACATTTTTAATACATTAATAGTATAATATGAAAAATTTTATCTTTGAGAGTGTAAAATGGGAATCTTAAAATCTTTTAGAGTGTAAAATGTGAAAAGCCCTGAGGATTATATTAAAATTTAAGACTATAAACGTTAAAACTAGTATCATTTTCACATTAACAAAATATGGACAAATAAAGACAATAATATATTAAATAACAAATGCATATATTTATGAGTGAGGGCATTCCACATTTGTTTTATTAGGTACAATAATAGATATTTATTTTAGTAGGTTAGAGAACAAGTGGACCACCAACTCATTGTTTTTTTTGTCATTCCCTCTCCGTACTACTTTTCTATCGGTCACCCTGGGAGTATTCAATCTTGCAAGTTGATCCTTGTTGATTCGCATATTCCCATGCTACTTAATTCCTTTGGGAAATGTACAAATAATGGATTTTAAAATTTTTATTTATTTTCGCAAAAATACTTTCAAATTCTCTAACCTTCATTTCAATTGATAAAATCGATGGTCAATTTCAATTTTAACTACAATATCCTGATTTATGATTTTATAATTTTGTAATAGTAGATGGTTAAATTTAAAAATCGATTACGTTTTTCTTAAAGTCTATCATTGGTCTGATGTGACACGAAACACAATTATTAATGGGCCGAGCAAATTTTTACACTCCAATGTTTTGATGCAATACAAACCCAACGCATTGTAACTCACAAACTCATATGTAATAGGATTATTCTCCACAGGTGAAATGCATCTCAAGAGCCTCACCTCTCACTTCTCTTACATAAAATTTGTTTGGTACAGTTTTTTGGAGTAAAAGTCCATTTTTTTTTCATTTTTTGCCCCAGAAGTACACTGTATTTTAAAACATTTTTCACGTTTTTCCTCAAAAGTATACTATACTATATATTATTCATATTTTGTCCCATAAGTATACAATACTATGTACTAAGCGCTCCATACACTTCTATTTGCCCAATTGGCCATGACATACATAGAATTGGATTCTTATGTTCTCCATCTAAATTCCTTCCCAAGTTGTTGGCAAATTACACCTTATATTTGCCAATGTCTGGATGATGTGACATATTCCTCCACGATTTCAATTGAAAGTAAGAATATTATGTGCCTATATAAGGATAAAAGAGACATGTGGTTATTAGCTACGACTTATAAGTACAAATTCCGTTTGAGCATAGTTACTTTGTACAAATAATATTTAAAATTGGGTATCCACTTAGCCTATCCCTCACAAACTCCATCAATAAGACTAAACTTTATTGCCTATTCCTATTATCTCTATCCTGTAACATTGATGACTAACAAATAAATATTCTCAAAAAGAAAATGAAACCTTGACGAATAATTTTTTTTGGTAGATTGTTGTCTCCGCCCGATCATAATTCACGGCCTCACAATTATGTAAACACTCAATTTGAGATTCAAATTCTCTTCAATACTTTTTTTGTCCTTTTTTTTTTTGATAAATCACCTAATATCTATTTGTGTTGATCCTCTTATATAGAATAAGTTTTTTCTAAAATTCTTAGTAAGACAGTTACCAAGAAAGAAAAGTAAAAAATATATATTGGATATGATCTCACTCTTGCAATCTTTACTATCTAAACAGTGTTTGAATGGTTGAAACACCATGACTAGCCAGATGTTGCTGAGATTTTTTGTTTCGTCCCTAGTTATCCCGGGAAAGAAATGCAAACATAAAAAATAGATTATTCCCCAAGAGCTTGTCCAATACCATGACTACCAAAAATGAATTTCTTTCGCCTACGTGAGAGACTTCTATGTCAGCCGATAATAACAGTTAAAGAAAGCGACATACAAGCTCAATTGGGTGGTATTTTTATTCCCTAATGAGTGACTTTAGGAGATTGGGGCCCCCTTATATTTTCCACCCATATGCAGAGGGTTTTAGTATTCGTCTCCGAGAAGATATCAAGATCATAAGACATTATCGCCTTCGCGACACTAGAGTATATTTCCATCATTTTTAAAAAAATGCATGAATAACCTTCTTTACCATTTTCACAATGTTCATGAAGTTGATCACAATTCAAAGTGTTAATGTCCTTTTGAAGTGCCACACACACTTTTTAATTAAGAGTGGGGTGAACAACTTTCGTTGGTGCTAGTACATGTGGCAAAGCCTCTGGAGGTGCACCCATTCTGAAGCTAACAGGTTCAAAATCCATCCCTCTCATGGTTAGCCATTTCGAAAAAAATTCATGTTGTCCATCCAAAAAAACATGTCTCAATTACAACTAACCCCCTTGTCGCTTTCCCTATCGAAAAAGCCAGCCCTCCTCCATTTATTCTTGAAATGCAAACCCAAGTGACACACTTGGGGGTCATGGGCCATGAAAGACGTTAACCCCCATCATCTTTTTACTATGTATGGCTAATGAACTCCTTGCTTTAGTCTGTTCTTTTCCTTCTTGGAGTTCGGGTTGAAAGTAGTTGAGGTAGTAATGTTGCAGAGCTCAACTAGCAATCCGAGCAGCCAATCGAGAAAGTCATAAAAGGAAGTTAAATGTAATTCTAGAAGGACATTACTACAAAAAAATGAGCCTTGGCAGTTCAAGTGAACGCTTATTAGACTAGACCCATTAAGACGGCGGAAAAATTAACTTTCGAGAGAGTTATTTTCGCCTCAATAATTACCTAAGAAGATAGAGCTAATGCAAAAGTTATCGTTTACTTGAGGAAATGTTAGATAGACAGATTAACCCCTAGTAATTACATTTTATATAGATTGAAAGTAAAAGAGAGACTAAGATATAATACTGCTATCAGAGAATGTTGTGTCATGCTAGACGTCCAAACAAACAATGTTGAGTCTCATTCTCGACATACTTGTTATATCCTCCAACGCTTTATCTTACCAGCTATACCTGGTATAAAATTGTTCCATAATAATTCAAGACAACATGAAAGCAAGAAAATGATAGCGATAACTTTAGGAACTAAGTCATGAAAAGTCCAACGTGTCATGCTAGGCGTCCATACAAATCATAAGCTTGTTGGGCCAAATTGAAATATTACCTGAAGATACCCAGAATATGCTTAAAGTTGAGCTTGGTCAGTTAGCTCGAACCTTCCAAGTTCGGGTCACTCAACTCATTACAAATAACCAGGGGAGTTCATCTTGATGTCTTTACCCCAGCAGCTACACCTCCACAAGAATAGCATGGAAGACAGCTGACTTCCACCCAAGCACCACACATAACGTAACGGTCCTATATTTGGGTAAAGAAGTTGGAACCGTTCTAACGATGTCCATGTCAATCGCATAAAAGACACAACGATTACAAGAAGAAGGCAAGGATCACACCAAGGACCAAGTAAGACCTTAGTCTACTATAAATAAGAGGCACATTCTTCACAATAGGACAGACAACTAAGCTTAAGTATTACTTTGTGTAAATCTCCCTTTTTATCAATAACATCATTCCAAGAGCAAGAGACTCTCTTGAGAGTAGATTAGCCAAACTCCGGAGCTAGTAAACCACTATAAACTCTTCGTGTGCAAATCCCCACTTCCTTGTTCAAATCTTAAGAGCCTTGGAGCTCTGACTAAGTCATTTAGTGACCACTAATCCCTAAATATCATAAGCTCTGCTTAATTATGCCACACAAACCATCAGTTGAAGCCGTCTATGGGAATGATTGTTCCTGTAAAAATACTACTGATATTTTTAGTAATTGATGGTTTTTACGTGCAATATGAGCAGAAGTCAGATGGACCCTCTTTGTTTACAAAATCAACAAGAAGTCACCACTGAAAGATAGTAGGAGAATCCTCACGATCTCCTACCTAATCTAGAGATTGATCCACATAAAGTGAACCCTCCTCCAAATAATGAACTAGAGGCCCTTCGTCAAGCCAACCAGTGTCTCCTCCAG